TCCTTCCCCACCCACCCCCCAACTATCCCCTGTGTGTGATGCTTCTCTCCCTGAGTCCATGTGTTCTCATTGTTCAACACCCTTCTATGAGGGAGAACATACGGTGCTTGGCTTTCTGTTCCTGTGTCAGTTTGCTGAGAATGATGGTTTCCAGATTCATCCAACTCCCTACAAAGGACACAAACTCATCGTTTTTTATGGCTGTGTAGTATTCCATGGTGTATATGTACCACATTTTCTTTGTCCAGTCTATCATTGATGGGCATTTGGGTTGGTTCCAGGTCTTTGCTATTGTACACAGGGCTGCAATGAACATACGTGTGCATGTGTCTTTATAGTAGAACGATTTATAGTTCTTTGGGTATATACCCAATAGTGGGATTGCTGGGTCAAATGGAATTTCTATTTCTAGATCCTTGAGAAATCGCCACACTGTCTTCCACAATGGTTGAACTAATTTACACTCCCACGAACTGTGTTAAGAGTGTTCCTATTTCTCCACATCCTCTCCAGCATCTGTTGTCTCCCGATTTTCTAATGAACGCCATTCTAACAAAATTTCCGTCCTTTTTAAGGCCGAATGACCCATTGTATGTATGTATGACAGTTTGTTTATCCATTCATCCACTCAACACTTGATCGCATATTTTTATTAAAAAGATTTTTAAAGCCAGGCACAGTGGCTCATGCCTGTAATCCCAGCACTTTGAGAGGTTGAGACAGGCAGCTCACTTGAGGTCAGGAGTTTGAGACCAGCCTGGCCAACATAGCAAAACCCCATTTCTACTAAAAATACAAAAATTAGCTGGGTATGGCGGCAGGCGCCTATAATGCCAGCTTCTTGGGAGGCTGACAGGAAAATCATTTGATCCAGGAGGCAGAGGTTGCAGTGAGCTGAGATTGCAGACACTGTACTTCAATGTGGGCAGCAGAGCAAGACTCCAACTCAAACAAACAAACAGAAGGATGTTTAAAACCTCTTTCCCAGCTGGGTGTGGTGGCTCACACCTGTAATCTCAGTACTTTGGGAGACCAAGGCAGACGGATCACCTGAGGTCAGGAGCTCTGGTGTTTGAGATGAGCCTGGCCAAGATGGTGAAACTCTGGCTCAAGATGTAAACATACAAAAATTAGCCAGGCGTGTTGGTGTGTGCCTGTAATCCCAGCTACTCAGGAGGCTGAAGCAGGAGAATCGCCTGATCCCAGGGAGCAGAGGTTGCAGTGAGCTGAGATTGCACCACTGCATTCCAACCTGGGCGACAGAGTGAGACTCCATCTCCCTCCCGCAAAAAGCAAACAGACAAACAAACAAAAACCCATAAACCTCTTTTCCTTCAAGATAGTCAAGATGGTTAGGATAGTTTTCAGTCAGAGGGTTGCTGTGTCATGACTGTTGCCGTTTCATATTTCATTGCATTTACTACAGCTCTCTGTGGTTTTGTTGTTGTTGTTGTTGTTGTTGTTGTTTTTCTTTTGGAGACAGGGTCTCACTCTGTTTCCAAGGCTAGAACACAGAGGCACGATCATGGCTCACTGCAGCCTTGCCCTCCTCCTGGACTGAAGCAGTCCAACCTGCCTCAGCCCTCTGAGAAGCTGGGACTAAAGGCATGTGCCACTGGGCCCAGCTCATTCTGTTTTGATCTCAGTATCAGGATGCTTTCACTGGCAGGACTCTGGCTCTGTTTCTGTCTCCCATGTCAGGGGGGCTCTGCTGTGCTTCTCTGAGACTGTTGTACCCAGCTGGGCTCCATGGAGGTGGTGTCATCCTTAGCTCAGTTTGACTAATTCTAAGATACACTTTTTTTCCTTCACACTTGCTCTCTATGTTGGGCTTCATTGTACATTCTGTGGTGTGGTTATAATTTATTGGCTGCATTTCATCCTTTCTCAATGCACATAAAATAACAGTGACTCTTACAATTAATGAAATATAGCAAGTGCTGAGAGGAAGAAAGGAATTTGACTTCTTTTCCCTAGGAGCAAGGAAAATTTCCCCAGCATGTCCCTGGTAGACCCACTTTCCTCTTAGGAGGAAGGAAAATTTCCCTGGCATGTCCCTGGTAGACTCAAATGTTGTTGCCATAGATTGGGTCATGTGTCTATTTATAAACCATGAGGAAAAGGTTTAGCATGATTAGTACTTGAGTTGGAATAAATGCTGGGGAGTCCACAGCTAAGGCCATCATGTCTAAAGACATAGGATGCAGGCAGCAGTGAGCCTTGGAAGTGCATAGAGATTTCAGTCTTCTATCTAGTTATTCATTATTTCTGTCTAGATTTTGAGCAGTTCTTGTGTGTCCAGCCTGGGGAACAGAACCAGACTGTCTCAAAAAAGTAAAAATAAAAATAACCTTTTTAGGGAAAATATTAACATATACAAAAGCAGGGAAATAATAATACAATAAAGTCCTTCTATTCATTACTCAGTTTCCACAAGTATCAAATCCCAGTCAAAAACCTGTTTTAACTCTGTCATGAAAGAAATTAAGTGAAGTGAACACAAAAACTACCAGGGTCATGTAGTGTAATGAAGATACTTTTCATCCCAAACCTGGGGTTATAACTGATACAGACAGAAAGAAGCTGCAGGAGGACAGTGTCTGCTTGTTCAAGCAGAGTCTTTTGTTGGTGGTGTGTTCCATCAGGTGTACCTGACTGCCACCTCGGGGCAGTATTTTCAATCTGGGAATTTGTACTCACCTAGTGCTACTCAGTTTCATCTCCCATTCTCTGCTTTCTCTTGCACTGTATTTTACTACCCATTTTTTTCTGTCTCACTATGTATTTCCGGTGTCTTGAGATCTTTGTACCAGACTTTTATTTTATAGATTTTTTTACCTACCATAAAAGAAAATGTAGTTCCTAAGGAAAAGTTGCTTACATTCTTGGAAAAGGGGCAGATTTACTGTGATTGGATTTTTGTATACTACCATTTAAAATCAGATGTTCGGTTTTTACATCAGATTTTAAATGTGCGTCATTTTCAAAAAGAAGTATTTTGGAGCACCAAAAATAATAGAACTCTTACAAACTAATTGGCAACATTTACCTTTTTAAAATTTTTGACTTTTGGCTTCTGCCTATAATCCCAGCACTTTAGAAGGCCAAGGTGGGCAGATCACTTGAGCTCAGGAATTTGAGACAGCCTGGGCAACATGACAAAACCCCATCTCTACAAAAAATACAAAAATTAGGTGGGCGTGGTGGTATATGTCTGTAGTCCTAGCCACTCAGGAGGCTGAGGTGGGAAGATTGCTTTAGCCTAGACGGTTGAGGCAGCACTGAGCCAAGAACACACCATTGCACTCCAGCCTGGGTGCCAGAACCAGACTGTCTCAATAATAATAATAATAATAATAATAATAATAATAAATAAACCTTTTTATTAGGGAAAATACTAACATATACAAAAGCAGGGAAAGAATAATATGATAAAGTCCTTCATTACTCATCTTCCACAAGCATTAAATCCTAGTCAAACCTATTTCATTTATACTCCCTCTTACCTCCTCCTGCCGTTATTTTAAATGCCTCACAAATACATCATTTTCATTGTAGATGTTCCAAAGATAAGGGCTTTGGATACATTATATCACAACATACACAAATTCATAATATTCAAGTGCCTACTATGCCCAGATTTCCCCAGTTGTCTGTATCTTTCGCTCTTTCTTTATATTTTCATAGTTCGAATTAGAATCTAAATAAGAGCCATTCATTGTAGTTGGTTGATACATCTCTTAAGTCTATCTGAATTCACAGGTCCTTTCCCCAGACCTCCAGTGTATGTGGTAAAGAAGCTATTTCATCCTGTAGGGTGTTCTATAGTCTAGATTTTGCTGATTGCATTAAATTTGTTACCTCCTTCTTTGCATGACTTGAGAATTAGTAGTTAAATCTAGAGGTTCGGTTGCAGTCTAGTTTGGTACCCTGCCTTCTGGAAAAATGCTTCCTGGATGGTGGTATGTACTTCTACCAGGAGGCTCATATGTCTCTTTTTTAACTGTAATTAGCAGCCACTGATTGTTTCTTAGATCCATTATTAGGAATTTCAAGATGGTGATATTCTAATTCTACCATCCCTTCATTTGTTCATCATACAAATAAATGAAACGTCACCATTATCTTTCAATGGTTACCAGTGGGTTTAAGATTATTTTTTAATCTATAATCAAACTTTAATCAGTTCTTATTGATGATTAAATGATCCATCTTGGGCCAGTAAGAGCATCTTCCTGCAGTATTTTTCCTTTTCACTTTATCCCAGTGGTTTTGTCCTTTTCACATAATCCTTTTTCTCTGGTAAGACATGATTTTAATGCCTCACCTTATACATTGTCTTCCCTAGATCTGGAATTAAACTTGTGTCAGAAGAGTCCACTTTTTTTGTAGTGGGAAGTGGCATTTACATACTGAGTGCCAGGATATTTGTTCTCACTGGGTTGGTTGCTATTACTAGGCCTTTTCAGTAGACAGAATAGGAAATAGGCATTTTCTTTGCTTACTTACTTTTCTTTTTTCTTTCTCTTTTCCTTTTTCTTTTTTTCTTTGTTTTTTGAGACCGAGTTTCACCTTTGTTGCCCAGGCTGGAGTACAGTGATGCGATCTTGGCTCACGGCAACCTCTACCTCCTGGGTTGAAGTGATTCTCCCACCTCAGTCTCCCAAGTAGCTAGGATTGCAGTCATGCATGCGCCACCAGGCCTGGATAATTTCGTATTTTTTCTTTTTAGTAGAGACGGGGTTTCTCTGTGTTGGTCAGGTTGATCCCGAACTCCCGACCTCAGATGATCCTCCCGCCTGAGCCTCCCAAGTACCTGGGGCTATAGGTGCGCCTGGCCTTCTTTCTTAAAGATAAAATACATTATAAATTCATACTGATATTTCCAATTCAAATTCAGATTTTCATATGGCCTTTATACTAATTCTGTTCTTATTTCATCTATATCTTAATCTTTATCTTCTTCCCATGTCTCATATCCCATTTTTAATGACACCAACAAAATTATTTATTTGCTTCAATTCCGTGATGCGTATATAGCCCAGAATAACCATAATCACACTGCTACAAACAGTTTGCTTACTGAAAACAGTTTAGTATTGCATTTTGTGTTGTATATCCTGCCAGAGCTATATAAGCAAATTAATGTATCTTAGAGTTACTGGAAACAGTTCCTAGAGTGGAACCAGCTCAGTGGTTGCATTTTTTCCATTTGGTTTACAGTTTTAATGAGATTGTTATTATTTAAGCTTCTTATTTTCATTCCCTCTGCCCCTTCTTAGATAAATAGTAACATAATATACATCCTTTTTGCCACCTTTCTTTCTTCTAACAATATATTCTTGTGTTTTCCTCATAGCAATATGTAGAGCTCCTTCTCATTCCCTTTTATAATACTATTTCGTAGAACTCCATTTATGAATGTAGCAGTTTATTCACCTAATCCCTATTGATGGGCATATGAGTTGATTCCAGTCGTTTGCCATTACATGTAGTGCTTCAGTGAATAGCCTGCGCATATAGATTTTTATGTTTTTTTTCAGTGTATCTTTGGGTTGTATCCCCAGAAGGGGGATGGTTGACTTAGAGGACAAGTGCATGTATAATTTTGAGGGTGTTGCCTCATTCCTCTCCATGGAGATTGTATCAGTTCGTGTTCACACTAGCAACTAATATGAGTGTTAATTTTTTTCATGGCTTTCTGTATTGTCAGACATTTGGATTTATGTCAGTATGATAGATGGGTACTTGAATATGTGCCATTAATTTACATTTCTATTGTCAATGAGATTGACTCATCAATTTCTATGATTAAGAGGCATTTGTGTTTCTTTTTCTGTAAACTATCTAATTATATTTCTAGTCCATTTTTCTTGAGGATGGGGAAGATTGGTTCTCCTCCCAATAATAGTACTTTTCAATTAATTTAACAAACATTAGAGAACTGCTGTACCCAGTACTGTACTTGGTGCTGGGGAAACAGAGCTCAGTACTAGTGTCAAAGAACTTTTAATACCAACATCTATTGTGTTTTCATTATTATTATTATTATTTTCCTGAGACAGAGTCTCACTCTGTCACCCAGGCTGGAGTGCAGTGGTGCAGTCTCAGCTCACCAGAACCTCTGCCTACCAGGTTCAAGCAACTCTCCTGCTTCAGCCTTCCAAGTAGCTGGGACTATAGGTTTGCGCCACCATGCCTGGCTAATTTTTGTATTTGTAATAGAGATGGAGTTCCACCCTGTTGGTCAGGCTGGTCTTGAACTCCTGACCTCAGGTGAACTGCCCAACCTGGCCTCCCAAAGTGCTGGGATTACAGGCGTGAACCACCACGTCCAGCCGATTGTGTTTTAATTTTATCCCACTATTTTCACTATGTATTAAGCAGAACTAATTGCGGCACTCGGTTTGATGTTATAGAAGTCACTACTTAACCAAAGAAGAATATCCTTGCTTGGAGAAAGTGAGCTTGATATACATTTAGAGAGATGGAAGATAGCCTGTAAGGCCGTGTTGGTACTGACTGCTAGCCTGAGAGCCACGTGGCCTGCTGATGTGATGTTTTATTGTACAGTTGCCTCAAAAACTTGAATAACCAACACTTAAAACCACAAATTTTACATAAAAGTGAAGATTTCTGGAATTTGGAAAAAGTTGGAGGATGAACAGACACTGGTTCCCATTCCTGTGTGGCAGCATTCCCTGGATGGGGCAGCTCTATCTCCATTTCACCATGGTTCACTTCACTCTTGAGTACATAATACCTGCACATCCAGGTTAGGAGCCACTGCTACACGTGGCTGTTCAGTACTTGGAAGATGGCTAGTCCAGATTGGGATATGGCATTTTGTTTAACGTGACTACTAGAATATTTTAAATTATATTGTTTTTATTTCTACTGGATGGTGCTGACTTACCTTCAGCCTGCTGCATTCATTTAAATCTTTTGTTTAGGCTTTGTGTACCATGGAGCTTTATCAGACTGGTGTATGCACATTCATCATTTGACAGGATGAGAACATGTGCCTCTTGCAAATGTCTGATTTTTCACAGGTCTCTGCTGGTTATGGTGGTCATGGCACCTGCTTGCCCTTGCTCTGTCCAGCAGAGTGTGGGTGAGAAAATGCCACAAGTATTTAAATCTGATGACTTAGAGTCTTGGTGAGGAGCACTGTTGCTCAAATATGTTTTAAAATTCTTTTTATTGAGGTATGCTCTACATACAGCAAATTGTTTATATATTATGTATGCTTTTCAATCTGTCTTGATGATTCGTATAAAGACACAGAACATTTCTGTCATCCCGGAAAAGGTCCTTCTTGCTCCTTCACAAGAATTCCTCCTTTCTAGAAGCAACCACTACCCTGATTTCTATCAGCACAGGTCAATTCAACTATGTATATACATATACATATACATATACACACATACACACACATAAATATATAATTTTTTCTTTCTTTCTTTTTTTTTTTTTTTTTTTT